TCAAAGAAAAGAGCATTTCTCTTGGGAAGAAAACATTCCACTTCCACTGATACAAGTAAGAACTGAGAACACACAGGATCAAGAGCACCCAAAATAAGCATCAGGAGAGATCTCAGGATCCTATCCATAGTTCTAAAAAACAAAGCCAGGAGCTGGGAAGGTGGCTCAGTGGTAGAGTGCTTGCTTTGCATGCATGAGGCCTTGGCTTCAGTTCCTCAGCACCACATAAGCAGAAAAAGCCGGAAATGGCGCTGTGGCTCAAGTAGTAGAGCACTAGCCTTGAGCTGAAGAGCTGAGAGACAGCGCCCAGGCCCAGAGTTCAGGTCCCACAACCGACCCCCCAAAACAACAACAACAACAACAAAACAAAGCCACCAGTGGCAGGGCCTTTAATGCCAGGGGTGGGGTGTCTGTATGATTCCTCATAAGAGAAAGACAAGTTAAGCCTAGGGACCCAGGAGAGGGTAGCAGGGGTTGGCTTTAGGGGACTCAAAGGAAACTGCTGTGGTGAAAGTTTTAATAGGCTAGATTAATGCTGATTCGGAAAACTTCTGGCCGAGAAGAGCAGTGGCTCCATGTGTCTTTGTGTACAATAATGGCTGTCAAGCACAGCACTCCAAAGGCTATTGTACCTGCTCTAGAGACTCGATCTTCCAGGGAAAACAGAAAGGCTGGGGTAGGGGCAGGGGGGAGGGAAGAATGGAAAACACTACCACCTACAAGGCTTCCTCTAGTTACAGCTAGAAAGACATCACATGATTTTTTTTAAAAAATTACTCAAATCTCACCTGTCCCCAGCAGGTTAGACTTGGAGCAGTCACTCACCCCACATTCCCTAAGACTCTGATTTTCAGTAGAACCTAAAGTGTGGGATGGACTGCTCCGCACCGTAAAGTGTCCTTTGAACAGAGACGGCCAGCATCTTCTTTTGTTCTTGCATGACCTTTTCAGAGAAAGAGAGCAGCAGACAACACAGAACCTGATATGGGCAAGGTGGAACCATACCGGAAGGAAGATCCTGGAGAGGACACCTGGAATGCTAGTCTGATTTACCTGTGTCACCTGGCAAGGTAAGGGAGCTCCTCTCTTGCTCCTTTAGGTCAGGGAGAGAATTTATAGGATTTAGAACAAATTATCACTGAGATCATTACCCTGTTGTCCTGTGGTGAGACCCTAGAAATCACTTCTAATAGAGACACTGGAATATTCTACAGCTAAGAAACGTACAGAGAGAATTTCTACCACAATTTTTACTGATCCATCAGATAATATCCCCAAAAGAGAGTTAGTGAGTGGCAAAGTCAGACTTAGCTGTTCTGATTACTGTGTATAGTATGGTTTAAAGTAACTTCATAAGCTAGTTAACTGTTAGCAGGCTTATTTTTTTTGGCAGGGGGGCGGCTTGGATTCATTTACCTAAAATTGCTCCAGAGGTTGCTTTATTTGTTTATGCTAGTCCCAGAACTTAAACGCAGGGTGTGAGCACTGTTCCTAAGCTTTTGTGGTCAAGGCTAGACCTCTACCCCTTGAACCACATGCTTTTTGTGGTTAATTGGAGATAACAATCTCAAGGACTTTTCTGTCAGGTCAGCTTTGAATTATGATCTTCAGATCTTAACCTCCTGAGTAGCTAGGATTACAGGCATGAGCCACTGATGCCCAGCTCTTTTATTATTTTTTAAAGATGTATTTACTTATGAAAAATTAAGAATAAGCCTTTTAGAGAATAGACTACTAGTCAAGTTTTCAGGCATTAAAGATAAGTATATACTTCTAAGAAACCATCACCTGGCTAGCAGGATACATGTAAATAGAATTATAAGCATCATACACAAACACACGCCAGCATAAACAATGTGAGCACAAGTGGCATATTTACATGGTAAAATCAATAATGACCTTTTAAGTCTCACCTCCACACCACACTGAAAACAGCTCATACAGCATCTCATTCCTTCAATAGAAGATTTTCTGAACTTCCTCCCCAACCATCTCCTATCTTCTCCCCCACCCCCCAAGCCAACCATAGAGCCTCCATCCACTGTAAAGCTGACCCAGAACCTTTCCTTGACAACTTTTGCATATCCACTATCATCAAAGCTTTCTCCTAACTTCTAGAACCCAAGCAAGAAGGCACGTAGATTCTCTCATGACCTCTCCCTGTAACTCTGCTGTAACAATTAAAGCACCGCCCTGTACATCTGGGAGTCAGTTCTCAGGGAGGCCTCAGTTTCCCTGCTATCAAGATCATGCTAATGGCATTCCATTGCCAGGCTAATGGAGGGGCAGGAAAACTTGATAACAATACAAAGAGGCTAGTAATAAAATTAGTCTAGGATGAAAATAACATAGCAAGAGCCGTGGTACATGACACTTGATCAGGGCAAAAGCTGTGAAGAGGTTTCTGACGCTTATTCCTACTAAAACCATCCCCCTTTAATTCAAGGAAACTTTTTTTTAATAAAAAAAGTTATCTTTAGGAAGTGAGGTTGTTCAAAGTGTGTGTAAAGAAATATCACAATGAAACCACTCTCACACTATAAGTGTACACTAATTCACACATAAAAACGTAATCTCTAACCACACAACTCTGTGTGTGTGTGTGTGTGTGTGTGTGTGTGTGTGAGAGAGAGAGAGAGAGAGAGAGAGAGAGAGAGAGAGAGAGAGAGAGATTGAGAGAGGAGAGAGAGAGAGAACTGGGGCTTGAACTCAGGGCCTCACACTCTCACTTAGCTAAAAAATTCAAAAAATTCTTGCTTGGTTCACCAGAATCTGGAAGGCCTTTTGCTGATTCACTGGAGAGAATAGTCTAACCAACTCTACCCAGGCTGGCTTCAAACCACAGTCTTCAGATCTCGGCCTCCTGAGTAGTTAAGATTACAGGTGTGAGCCACAGCACCCAGCACTAACCACAAAACTTTGCATATAGCATGCTCCTTCTTTCAAAATACCTGGAGGCAACTTTCTAATCACGGGTTGTATGGCTGAACAATACAGTATGAATTTCAAAGCCCACCCAAATGCTGCCTCCAATTAAAATAATTATAACTATGCAACCTCTGAGGATTAAATGTCTGCTAATCCAAGAGCCCCAGACAGATCTCTCAATCCTTTTGTCTTAAACAAATCCAAATGTCATTGGTGGCAGAATAGATCCTTCTGACAACAGAAGACAATGTACAACTTGACTCTTCTGAAATTTGAGGTAGTGAGACACAAGGAACGGCATTAGAGACTCTGGTTTTCTGGGACCAAACGGATGGGTTGGATGTAATTTAAAGACCATAAATAAAACACTGAAACACACACACACACACACAAACACCCCTCCTAGCCCCAAAGCACTTGGTTGCATAGTTTAAGAATAACATATATTGCTTATCTCTACAAATTCTAAAGACAGTTGCATCCAGCTCCTGAGATACTGTCCCCAGAGTCTGCGGTGGCTGCCTTGCATGCAGTCAGCAGTAGGTTCTAGGTTAGCTGGTGCGTTCCCATGTCCCTCACATGTATAGAAAGAGTGGTGATGGATTCTGAGGTGGGAAGGGACTGGAGTGAGGTGGAGGAGAGGAGGGGAAGAGGAGCAGCTGAATGCCCCCAGCAGTTGAAGGCCGGCTGTCAATCCAACATTACAGATGAGCCATCTCCCATTTAGAAATGTGGCTGTCTGGGTTTTCCGCACATCCCTGTCTCTCATCAGAATCTGGGAGGATTCAAACTGAAAGGAGCCAGAGGCGGCAGTGGCAGCCCGGGCTGGGCTGTTCCATTCACAGGGGAGGCAGAGTCTCCTCCATTCACGGTGGGGTCAGGGAGTCCTTTTGCTGGCACTGGATCTCCTATCTCAGCAAGCTGCGCTTCCCGGGAGGGCGGGCGCTTCGCAGGCATCATTCAGAATAAGGATGTCCGTTAAGGAGCCCGCTGCCAAAGCTATTATTAGAACAACCATCCCTTGGACATTTTGCAGAATTTGCTTGGACCCACTGAGCGGTTACTCTGCTAATAGGGGATTGGAGAAAGGCTGGTGACACCCAGGCACACACGGCCCTCCCCCAGGTTCCCAAGTGCAGGCAGTAATCTTTTCCTGAATTCACCATGCAACAACATCTGGGCAGCTGCTACAATACAGAGGCACTACGTGTGTGTGTGTGTGTGTATGTGTGTGTGTCTTAAACTCAGGGCCTGGCCACTGTCTCTGAGCTTTTTCCGGCTTAAGGCTAAATAAGCACTGTACCACTTGAGCCACAGCTCCACTTCTGACTTTTTTTTTTTTGCTGGCTAATCGAAGATCAGTGTCTCTGGCTGAGTTTCCCTGTGGCAGGCTGGCTTTGAACCGCGATCCTCAGACCTTGGCCACCTGAGCAGCTAGGATTACAGGCGTGAGCCCCTGGCTGCCCATTTAATAACAACAACAACAGCAATAACAATAATAAGCAGGTACTAACTAAGAGGGAGAGGAGGGTCTCAGGCCTGAGAAGCTCTCCCCCTCCCTCTGGCCAGCCTGGGATTCTCTCTGCATCCAACTTGCCGCAGACCTCCCGGAATGGGAGAGCCGGCTTGGGCGGTCCGAGGCTCCGAGGCCCGGCCTCCGGCCACCTTGCTGCCCAAGCGCTTCTCTCGGCCACCCCAGGGCAGCACTGCGCTGTCACTTCCAGAAAACGTGAAAACCAATTAAAACATGAAACACCCAGCTGGCCCGCAGCCCTGCCTTTCCCCCGGCCTCCCTGCCCGGGGAACCCCAGGGAGCGCGGGCAAGGCAGGGCCAGGGAGTGGAGTGGGCTGCACCCCACGTGGAGCTGGCATCCAAAAAATGTAACCTAGGCGAAATAAAAGCCTCTGGCCGCCCCCGGCCCGGGAATGGGATGGGGGACCCCCCCCTCCACCCCCGCGTTCGGGTCGCCCAGCCCAGCCAGGGGGTGGGGTGGGGGGCTGGAAGGAGAAATAACGTGCTGCATAATCAATTGTCTGCCTGCCGCCGCAACTGGGAAACAAAGACACATTACCTTCTATTTTTGGCGCTTCCAAGTCAGCCCAGGAACTTGGGGTCTTAGGCGGCTGCTCCACGGAAACCGGCGTCCCATCCGCCCCCGGGGTGCAGGCCCGTGGCCTAGCCGGCGGCCTGGGCGCCCGGCGCCGCCTCCTCCTCCTTCTCCTCCTCCGCCTCCTCCGCCTTCTCCGCCCTCTCTGCAGCAGCAGCCCTCCCGCGCTCCCGGTCCCCGGTCCCGTCCTGGTCCCCGCCCCCGCCGCCGCCGCTGCTGCCGCCCGCCCCGGTCCTCCGTCAGCCCATCGCCCGCTCGCGCCCCTCACGCCGAGCCTGGCCACGCGCCAGGGCGCACCGCCGCCGCCGGCCCGCCCCTCGCCCGCGCGGGGACCTGCGGCCCGCGGCGCCCGGCCCGCCGCATGGTGTCCCCGCGCGCCCCGGCCCGCCAGGCCCCGGTGGCCGCGGATCGTTGGTGTCAGGCAGGAGGGAACCGGGTGCGCCTCCGCCCGGCCGGCCTAACGAGCGCCGCACGATCCCGGGACAACAATGAGCGCCCCCTCCAAGCCCCGGACACCCCCCAAGTCGCCCCGGAGGAGCCGGCTCCGCTCCCAGCCTCCTCTCTGCGGCACCCGCCGGCGAGACAAAGTTAGCGCCTGGCCGTGATCCCACAGAGGCTGCGCGCGTCCCCGGCGCGCGCGGGGAGGCCGGGGACCCCCGCGCCGACACCCAAGCGCCCCCCGCCTCTCCCCCACGCCCCACCAAAGCCACCAAAAGAGACCCCACGAGGAGGCCCACGCCTACCCTGCGAGCCTGGGGGAAGAAGCAACTCCCGGGGCGCTAGGCGCGGCTCCCAGCCCCTGATCTACACCGATTAGCTTGAATTTTAATTTCCCTTCAACTCTGGGGTTGGGCAAGTTGCTGAGAGATAACCTAGCCAAGGGTGACAGTCAGGGATTCACAGAGTTCTCGGGAACTAACTTCCCTGTCAACAGGCTGGGAGGGCAAAATGGGTTGGGGAGTCCTCAGTCCAAAAAGAAAAGAAAAAAAAAAAAAAAAGGAAAGGAAGAAAGGAGGAGGGAGGGAGGGAGGAGAAGGAGTAGAGAAGGAGACAGGGAGAGAGTATAGACAGACAGAGAGACACAGGCTGAGAAAATCCTCACCAAGAACAATAACCAATTCACATTGTGCGTCTAAATGTTTATTGCCTGGGGAGCTCAATTTGCTTTAAACACATTTTTTCCCTCCCAGAATTGTCAAAATATGGTTGATAAGATAAAAGGAACAGCAGGAGCAGCACCCACTTAAAAAAAAAGACTTATTTCAGGATTAAAATCTTTCTCTAGAATCCACCCATCTCTTGAATTCTAATTTACGTTCATCCATTCCAATGTATGCTCATCTGTCCCCAGGGCCAGAGGTGGTTTCTCCATGCAATCCTCTGGTGCAGAGGAGTCCGGTACTGACAGGCAGGTGCCATTTCCAGGGAATAGACAGGGAAGACTTGCAAACTTTGTCACGAAAAGACATCTCTCACTTCCCACCTTCTTTCCAGACACGGGCAGTGTAATCTTTCCTAAGGATCATTGATTAAAAAAAGAAAGAAAGAAAGAAAAAAAAAACTTCTGACAGTTCAAGAGATCTCATTAGCAGTAGAAGTGCTGGGTACCGTTAGTACCAGACAAAAGCAGAACACCAAAGTTAAGGGTCATGGATCTAATTTCAGGCTGTCAGGATCATGTGGTCAAGGCTGGAGACCTCGACAATGATCTAAATGAGTGTAACCGGAACCTGGGTTTGAATCTGATTTTTCTGTACTTTTGGAGCTCTGGAGGGCTTCTTCCAATGCAAAGCCTGATTCCCAATACAATTAAAACGCATCTCCTTGTAGTGAAAGACCCCCAGAGGGAGTATCAACTTTTCATTTTCTTTTCTCTTTTGTCTGGAAATAGAACACAAGACCTCACCCATGCTGAATGACACTACTAGTTGTCAGAAGCAGGCTGCTTCCACCTCTGATCTGTTGGGACAGCGACCCTGAGAAAATATTCAGACTTCCAAATACTTCTCAATTTCCATCATGTAGGAGGGGTTGGATCCTATCTTCACCAGGCCTCCTGGAGTCTTCAATATGCCCTACACTATCCCATCCACAGGTCCTCTTTCCAAGTATTCCCTTCTATCAGACAGCACGTACCCCGCAACCTGGAAGGACAAGACGGGGAGGTCTCCCTTCTCTTTTCCTTTTTGCCCCTTCTCAGCCCCAAAGCCATCCTCCTGGTGTGCAGTGTCTCTAGTTTTATGAAGTCCTCATCACCTTTCTTTGAATGTCACCAGAAGTTGCTAAAACAGGCTGTGCTCAGGGTTTCCCTGGCCCTCAAGAATAAAGGCTTTCCCCTTTCTGATGGTGCTAAGGACCAGGCCCTCCTAACTTATCAGTCTTGTCTTTTCCTGAACAACTCCTCCGGCTACATAATCACCTCCAGGTCCCCGTTTATGCCAGATGTTCCTCCATCCCTTATCACCTAGCACCTGGGACTGTAGAAACCCCTTGGATCATGTCAAAGCCAACAGTGCCCCAGCCTGTCTATCATCATCACATTTGTTCTCCTATCACAAAGGCCTCAGCTCTGTCTTTGGACCACTCTCTTCCTGCCTGGAAGGCCCATCTACCCTATCTGCCCTCCCCCAATCTTGGTGGGGCTGGATCCTTGTTAACCATCAGTTCTTGACACTCACGTTTCATCCTGTACCCCCTTCCCGGATGGACCTTGTCCAGGTCTCCGTTGCAGCAGAGGTCTGTTTATTTCCCTCTCAGCACGCATAAGACCCCAGAATGTGCCTCCCTGGAATGTTCATTTGTTGGTCACATTCTGAAATGGTCATTCAGAGAAGCAGGAGACACACTGAAGATCTGCCCTGCATCCTGGGAAGACCATCAGAGATCTCCCTGCATAGGCAGAGTCTTTCCCAGGCTCCTGCCCCTTCTGTGGGCTGCAGCTGCAGGGCATATTTGCATTGGCTCCTCCCCTTGCCTGTCTATGACCCTTGCCACTTTCCTCCAGGGTCTCAATCTCTCCTGTGGTATATCAGCTTCCACCGTCAAGCTCTCCTTCCAGCCTCTTACTATGCACTATGGCTCCCATGATAAGCCACCTAATAAAATCTGTATGTTTTCCCCCCATGAATTATCTCTTGCTAGTTTATTTCATACACTAAAAGTATCAAAACTCATTTGGAACAGTGAAAATTTAAGTGTGTATACTAAACTGTGATTGATGCCCACAGAATGTCTGAAGAGCACAAACTGGTACCAGACTACCTGAGTTCAAATCTTGCTGTGGTCACCTTCTCCTAGCTAGATATCCTGAAGTGAGTTTCTTAACCTCTCTGTGCCTGTAGGAAATGGGGAGACTAGTTCTGCCTACCTCACAGGGGTGAGGGTTAGATGAGTTAGTATATATAAAGCAATTAATTCTGGCAACCAGGGCCTAGATATATTGAGTGTGTGATTATCTTTACACTCTTTATTGTTTCCACTCTTTCCCTATGGCCTGGATTTGGTACCTGGCTTCAGATTGCTTTATCCCCAAAGCCTTTTGTGTGGGGCTTGGATTATAAATGGAAAAGACTATTAAAATGAACTCCAAGGAATGGAAACAAGAGGTTTCTTCTTGTTGTTTCTGTTTTATTTTTGTCTTTTTTTTTTTTAATCTGTCTTTGGGAGGGTAAGGAGGAAATGGCGAGACAAAGGGTGAACAAATGCAGCAGAGCTACTCACTAGACACTATGTTGAGAATGAACTGTACAACTTGTAGGTGGGGCTGGGAAGGAAAAACTGGGAGAGAGTAAGGAAAGGGGTGACACTGTCCAAAAAGAAATGTACTCGTTACCTGATTTATGTAACTGTAACCCCTCTGTATTATCACCTTTATAATAACAATTAAAAAAAAATGGAAAAGAACTATGAGAAGAGCCGGGCTCCAGTGGCTCAGGTCTATAATCCTAGCTACGCAGGAGGCTGAGATCTGAGGATCACGGTTCAAAGCCAGTCCAGGCAGGAAAGTCCATGAGACTCTTATCTCCAATAAACCACTAGAAAAAAAGAAGTGGCACTGTGGCTCAAGTGGTAGAATGCTTGCTTTGAGCTGAAGAGCTGAGGGACAGCGCCCAAGCCCAGAGTTCAAGCCCTACGACTGATAAAAAAAAAAAAAAAAATTATGAGAAGAAAAACTATTTGAGGGGCTGGGAAGGTGGCTCAGTGGTAAAGCGCTTGCCTTGCATGCTTGAGGCCCTGGGTTCGATTCCTCAGCACCACATAAGCAAAAAAAAAAGAAAAACTATTTGAAAAAGTTTGATGCACAAAGACAATCAGCTATGGTTAAGTTTAGATGAAATACTCTTCAAACTTAAGTTACTGGAAAGTTAATGAATGAATATCTGAAATAAACTCATGGTTTTTCCTTAGAGTTCGCAGATGAAAAGCTCTGCTAGACAGAACTCTAATTGTTTGTTCCCTTGAAAAGTAGCCAGTCCCACTACTCAGGATGCAGCCAGTTATGTGCAAAATAGATATTAAGATAGGCCTGAGGAGCCTGGTGCTGGTGACTCATGCCTGTCATCCTAGCTCCTCAAGAGGCTGAGATCTGAGGATCCTGGTTCAAAGCCAGGTTGGGCAAGAAAGTCTGTGAAATTCCTATCTCCAATAACCAGAAAAAAACTGGAAGTAGAGGTATGGTTCAAATGGGAGAATGCTAACTTTGAAAGAAAAAGTTATTTATAATATGATTTCTTTGTTTCTTTGTATGTCCCTCCCCCACAGTACAACCCCTGTTTTTACTGTATTTGCTGTAGGTATAATTCATGGAGAGGAAGGGAAAAACAAATTGTTTAAATAGGGATACAGGTGGACCCATTGCAACAAAGAGATGTACAAGACGCTATGTTGAAAAACAAACTTTACAACTTTGGTGGGGGATGGGGGGTGAGGGGGGGGAGGTGGGAAGGGATGGGAAGGGGAAACAAAGGAGGAGGCAACAATGCTTGATAAGAAATGAACTCATTACCTTGTCCATGTAATTGTAACTCCTCTGTATGGTATTTTCACAACAACAACAAAAAAAAAAAAAAAAGAAAAAGAAAAAGCTAATAGACTAGTGCCCGGGCCCCA